AAGTTTATAATGGTTATTCATATATTTTAAATTGGATGCATTATTTATGCTTTTAAATTGTAATTTATACATTCAATTAGATTAGACGGCAAAAATTCGACAACCAGGATCTATGGAGTGAATTTGGTTTTTCTTCAATGAAATATTTGTTCTTCTACGTATTAAGTAGAATGTCTTATTTCTTTGTTCTCAGCTTTAAAATCTTCAACAAAAAGTGTTGTCGTCATTTTTTTTTTTGATGGTTTGAATTCACTTAATACTATAAGTGGCAATAGAGTTTGATAGAGTAACAGATTGTGGTGCGAGCGGTCCCAGATTTACATTTTACACGCGGGCGACACGAAGATTGAAATTGTCTCGATATCTACCCATCGTATATGGACTTTTACTGTTGAAAGAGTAGTTTTTAGGTTTCGTCGTATGTATCTATGCACGAATATTGTATTGCAAATGTCGTGTTTTTTGTATAATCTTTATCGCAGAACAGGATGATAAAATACATCCCATAACTTCCCTCGACCTACAAGTTGGAAATGTTTATACCCGAAGGAAAACACGTATGAATATATCTGGCCCATTTGTATGAAGTACACAAACTTGTGTAAGGCCTGAAGTTCTTTCACTTTCGAAGAGGATACTTTTTTTTTGTAACGACTTTCAGCTCTAGGCTTGTTATAAAAGTAATAGTCAATCCCATTGTTCGGTTCAGAGAGCCTATCAAAGCCCTTGTGGCGGTGAGTACTGTTGGCTGGCTGGTTTTCCTCTAGTCAATATTTCAAAATCAGAAGCAGCTTCTACTTAAACTCTGGAAGTCTCTTCTCTTGTCGTTTAGCCAATGCTTGCATACGATGCTCTCCAGGCGTAAAATTCAATTACATTTATATTTACAATACATCTCTTACTCTTGACAATACAGATATAAAGTAAAAACCTTTAACTTAGTTTATCAAATTAAGTTTTTTGAAAATAAAACTCTTTCAATGTGTCCAAAATTTATCGTGATATTCAAGCTTTGGGATGACTTTATGAAAATTATTTTCGAGGTACTGTTTCGAAGTTTCTCTAAAAATATACTAAATTTGCTACAAAGTCTCATCCTTTTGTGCCTTATAACATTTTGTATGAATTAATAGATAAAATATAGAGACCTGTCATCTTGAAAATATGTTTTGTATGAAAATTATTAAAAAGGCAACATCCAAAATAATATAACTTTTTAGTGTATAAAATGTGTGTTAAATATACTTTGTAAAAAACAATACCATATAGAAACGTTATTTGATTACTTGAATATTTTATTATAATTTTAGTGGACGATCTGACTCTCAATGACCTGTTTTCACACCCAAATTGCCAAAACAAGAAATGTCTATGATACTGTTACGCCTCCAGTCGTTAGTTAATTTTCCGTAAATTCGTTCCGACGAAACTTTAGCGACACAAGTCCTTTCTTAAATAAAACTGGTTTATTCTTTCCGAATACAACTTTACGATACACTTAATTTCAACAGTCGCTCTGTAACAAACGCTATAATTCTCACGTGCTTAACAATATTCTCTCTGACTGCAGTTCAATTACTCATTACCTCGTCACGTTGTGACCATCTTATATATACCAGACTACCCCCAATCTAGTAGTCTCCCGATAATTCACGAAGGTTCGAGAGAAGGACGTGGCGTGATACTAGTCACGTGACCTCGCTGACGTAACAATACAATAAGCTCCCACAAGAACGCTTTTACAGTCTTGTATGTTCTGTCGAAAATTAAGTTTTTCTTCAAGTAAAATGTAGTTCGTACTTCATGTATATGCAATATTTAGCTATTTGGGGTTGGTACTTTCACGATAAATTGCGTCAAATAAAACTGTGTTGTCGAAAACAATAATGTCTTCATCAATGTAGTAATGTATATGATTTATCGAAACATTAAAACTTAAATCAGTGAATTAACCCTAGTGTGTCACAAAGTGCAATCGCTCTTATTATCTTAAGATAGAGATTTTCAAAACAACCGCTGGGTTTTGAAAATTGCGTCATTTCAATTTCATCTTAAGATTTTCTCACTTCTCGTGCTTGCTAGTAATTAATAGTCGTTATAATAGAAGGGATTATCTTTAAGATCGTTGTCGACCGACATCAAGGAACGTAGTGAGATTACAAAAGAAATGAAATCCCATGTCCTTCATCATGTGTTGAATAAATATTTCCAGTGTAAGTATTTTATTTCAAGTTTATTAGCAGCGAAAGTAACAAACACAAACTTTAAGAAAGAAGATTGATAATTCACCACCTAAAACCATCTGTCATGTTAGGGTACTCACCAACAATTTGGTACCCAAAAACAGTCTTTATTGTTATATAATTTCTCCAATAAGTATAAAAAATTATGCAACTCTCAATAATGAACAGACCTCCTGTGGGCTAGCAACTTCCATAAATTATCGGATACAAAGCAGTACAAATGATCTTAACTAGTGACGATAAACTTAAATTGAAAAGCTCTGACATCCTAAATGTTTACCACGACATGCTAAAATAGATAAGCTTCTTAAATTCCTTTATACATCTCGACTCGCAATCTGCGGGTCGCGGGTTCGAATCCCCGTCCCACCAAACATGCTCGCCCTTTCAGACCTGGGGGCGTTATAATGTGACGATCAACCCCACTATTCGTTGGTAAAAGAGTAGCCCAAGAGTTGGCGGTGGGTGGTGATGACTAGCTGCCTTCCCTCTAGTCTTTCACTGCTAAATTAGGGACGGCTAGCGCATATAGCCCTCGTGCAGGTTTACGCAAAATTCAAAACAAAGAAACCTTTATACATGACACACAAGTTGGGGCATTTTATACTTTTTTCTGGCAGTCAGTAAAAGGTATTTTAAAGTTTAAATTAAAGTTGCAAAATTGTGTCCATGGGTTTCCTGCCGAAGTTGCTGAAAAATATATATTATTCACGCTTTTACGATAGTACTTTCAAAATATAAGGTTATTTTTTAAAAAAATGCCATCACTGTTTGCTTGCTTGTATGATTTGTTGTTCTGCGCAAAGTTACATAATGGGCTGTCAGTGCCGTGCTCACCATGGGAATTGACGAACCCCAATTTTAGCACTAAAGTTTACCTATGAGCGACAAGATGCCAAGTAACATCTCATGTGGGAAGAAGAAGATTCACACCTTTTCTTGTGCTTCTGTCAGCGTTATAGTTTCACATCTTTTCTTCTTTCTTTTTTCACTGCATGCGTTATCTAAGCCTAGTTTAAAGTTTATAGAACTACTCCACTTAAAAGATACAAGTTTACATCTGTAATGTGTTATACCTAGGCATATTATATAGATATTTTCACCTAAATTCTTAGGGTGAGAGGCGTGAGATAAACATATTATTAATGCATGTAGTAGAGCTTATAAAGATTAAGTGTTTAGTGCTATGAAGAAAACCTTGGGATTATGTGTAAAAACCTTTGTATCAAAACGGCAATGATGAAATGAATGTGTTTCAGAAATTCGCCACCAAAGAATCTAATTTTTAACTCGTTAATGATTTATATGACCAAGCAGACGCTGTTGCTATGGGATCTAGATTAGCCCCGTCACTCGCAAATTTATTTCTGTGTCACCATGAAAAATGTTAGCGTGATTAATATCCTTCTCAGTTTAAACCAATACATTATAGAGAAAAGTGGGTTGGTGTCATTATCCTTAAAGAAACTCAACATGTATAGCGTTTTTTAAAACTATTTTAATAGTAGAAATTATGATATTAAGTTCATAGTAGAACATCAACATAGCCATCAACTGCCATTCTTAGGTATCCTTATTCATAATGAAAATACCGTCATTTAACTATGGCGGTCAGGTTGAGATCCCTTGTAGATTGGAGATCTGGTTCCCTTACCGTCAATGTCTAAAGAGAAACACGTATCTCATTATCTCTTCATTGTTATTGCAATACACTGGGAGTAAGAATAAAACATGAAAAATAAGTGGTATATAACAATTGTGTAGTTAGTAAGTTAAAACATGAAAAATAAATGGTATATAACAATTGTGTAGTTAGTAAGTTAAAACATGAAAAATAAATGGTATATAACAATTGTGTAGTTAGTAAGTTAAAACATGAAAAATAAATGGTATATAACAATTGTGTAGTTAGTAAGTTAAATGAATAGAATGGCATTTCCGGGAAGTTGACACCTTCAGCATCTATATTTTCTACATTTCAAGTTTTACTAAAGTAGTGATTGTATCTTGTTTTTTACTAAAGTAGTTAATGTATCTACATTAACTACTTTAGTAAAAAACAAAACTTTAGTAAAAAAACAAGAAAAAAAACAAGATACATTAACTACTAAAGTAGTTAATGTATCTTGTTTATTCTCACAGTAATAAAGAAGGGCTAATACAAATACATTTTTTAAATCAAATAGAAAATGCATACAACTGTATGCATATGTAGTACATGATTCCAATATTACAATTGAAAACATTATGCAACCAAAGTCAAGGTTTATATTTTAACAATATTTTGGATCTCTTTCATAGTACAAAACATTAAACATAATGTCTTTGCAGGTTGTACTCCAAGTCAAGAATGATGACGTTATAATCCCGACTTGAGCTCTCCCCTAAGACCGCGCTTTTGTCACTTTCAATCCTACTCATATTTACTTTTTCTTTCCAACTCGGGAAGCTTACAATCACAGCTTCGTTCCTGACCCATAAAATCTCAAAACCTGAACTTTTTGATCTAATGAAGATTTACGTTAGCAACTCGAAACGGCATCCTAAATCTTTCTTGACAAAATATATCGCATATAAAAACAACTGTAATTTACAGAAAATTAAATAGATTAAATATTTCTAAAAGAGTAAAAGTGTCAATGTTTCAACCAAACTCCCAGACATAAGTATAAAACGTTTCCGGCGAATCTTCAGACGAATATATGATATAACTGGCGTGCATGACATTTATATAATTATTTCTTTCATATGTTTTAGCTTTTTCTTGATGCATCATTAGCTCAGACAGTACTCGATGGTCGTGGAGTTAGTGACATATTTGGTGTTGTGTTTGTCTCCGGGGTTGGAGTAATGATGGGAGTTGCTACTTCAATGGGGGTTTCAGGTAAGAAAGCGTTTTGCAAAAGAATAAAAATATCAATTGAAATTATCAATGAAACAGTGACAGTTTGACGTTTCTTTTCTGATACGGAAACTGGAAATATTAAATGTATTTCATCTTCTAAATTTTAAAGTGATGGTGGGAAGGTTTTTACACTGTATGTTTAAAGTGATGGTGGGAAGTTTTTACACTGTATGTTTAAAGTGATGGTGGGAAGATTTTTACACTGTATGTGTATAGTTTTCTCAAACCATAATTAAAATATTATGATATTGTAGAAGTGAAAAGAAATTTGATATAATAAACATCAGTTCCTACAACTAGAGTGGTATAACTATAATCTAGCCTTCTGAAGATTGCACAGGACACGTGAAAATGATACTTAGTTCTGATACTAATATCTTATTCCAAAAGTGTTGTTTATTTTTCATGTTCATTAAGCTAGTATTTACCAGGTCAGATGAATTTGAACACTTAACCTTTTAGCTTAAATACTTTTCATGACAGTCATCTATGATATCTTAAAAATAATGAGCTAATAATATAATTAAATAAATTAAATAAGCATATTAAAATGAGACTGAATTGTACTTTTTACACCAAAGAAATGTTAGTCCTCGTCTCTGAAGTTAAAACCCGTTAGTTTTCTTTAAGAGCTGAAGTCGGTTATTTCAAAGACATTTAAATATATTCAAAGTCAGCGCTATTGTTTTCAAAGTCTGAAAACACCATAGTTTCTATATGTATATGTTTGTTTGTTTTTACAGGTGGTCACATTAATCCTGCGGTTTCTATATGTATATGTTTGTTTGTTTTTACAGGTGGTCACATTAATCCTGCGGTTACAACAGCTTTTGCTTCCTTAGGCAAGTTTCCTTGGAGGAAAGTTCCTCATTACTTGGCTGCTCAGCATCTTGGAGGATTTGTGGCTTCTGCTGTAATTTACTTTAACTATATTGGTAAGTTTTAATACTACAGTCTCTAAAATGAATAATAATAATAACATTTCTAGCTACAAAAATGATCGGCAGATAAAATTTAGAACTAAGGTCCCGTGTGTCTTGTTGTTTTTATATATCAAGTGTAACATTTCAAGTGCTAAGGGTAATATGATGTAAAAACGACCACAAATTTTGTTAGATTTACAATACATAATAGAATATACAATTTTGTTAGACTCACAATACATAACAAAATATACAATTTTATTAGATTTACAATACATAACAGAATATACAATTTTATTAGATTTATAATACATAACAGAATATACAATTTTATTAGACTTACAATACATAACAGAATATACAATTTTGTTAGACTTACAATACATAACAGAATATACAATTTTGTTAGACTTACAATACATAACAGAATATACAATTTTGTTAGACTCACAATACATAACAGAATATACAATTTTATTAGATTTACAATACATAACAGAATATACAATTTTGTTAGATTTACAATACATAACAGAATATACAATTTTGTTAGATTTACAATACATAACAGAATATACAATTTTAAATTGTTCTTTAGACCAACTGATAGCATGAAAGAAGTTCACGTGGACAATACTTTCTACATTAAAACAAAACATAAATATGCAGCGAAATCAATGCCTAACGGCACGACTGCAGCCTAAAATTATAGTGAAAATCATTTGAATATTGACGTAAAAAGAGATATTGAAGATAAAGTAAACGTAAACAAATGTAAACATTTAACTAAAGAGAAATGTGTTTGTTTTAGAGCAAAAACCACAATAGGCTATCTGCTGCGCTCACCGCGTAGAATTAAACCCCGGATTCAGCGTTGTAGGTTCGTAAATTTACCGCTATCACCCCCTCCCCCCGTGGATATTAAAAGAAGAAGAAAAATCATTTGAAAGATGAAGTTGAATCAAGGAAATAAACAAAGATCTATGATCATAATGCCCATCTTGTTTCCCGATTGATTTATGGCTTAAACTTTGAAATCAATAAGGCTTCTTTATATTTAAGTCTATTAGCTGTAACAGTCACATCTCGGTCAACCATGTGTTTTACAATCTGCTATGACACTGGCACTTTGGGGGTCAGGTAAGGTTCTAACATGTTCAACAATTCTGTCGAGAAATGCATGAGATGTTTCTCCTTCGTAAAATTCATTGTATATTCTACAAGTTATTTCCTAAAATTTAAATTTATCACGTACTCCTCGAACTGAATACTTACTGAGATGGTTTTACATTTGACATATTCGAAAATGCTCCAAAGAAAATTAAGAAGGTAACTTTTACAACTTGTAAGCAAGATGACGCACGTAAATTTGCGACATGGACTACCCAAGACATTAGTGACAGTCGCAAAAGAGAATTACAATCAGTGATACAAAGGTCAGAGTTACCGATAAGCGTCGTAAGCATGGGCGCCCGCAGGAAGGGGCAAAGGGGGTTACTTGTTTCCCCCCCCCCTGGATTTTCAAAAATTACTAGATTTGTAAAATTATTATTCTATGTTATTGGAAAACCATAAGGTATTTGTATTTCGATTTCATATTTTTTTCAAACTTCAGTTACTTGAGCTCCCCCCACTTTTTTTTTCTGTGGGCGCACTTGCTTGTAAACAACATTATGTGAGTGACGTTGTTCCATAATCTCCATCAGTCTACAAAACAAATTTAAAAGCATATAGTCTGTTATGTATTGTGATTCTAGCAGTGTAAATATTAGGTATAGTAGATCACTTCTGAAGAAGATTTAGAAAGTTGCGTGAAATAAATATAATCTTGTTCTGGAGTTTATGGTCGTTTTTTTCATCATATAAAGTGTCTCAATTTCTCTAGTCAGCTCTTCGTGATATTTATCTATGTTCCATAATTAAGGTTTAAGAAGGATGAAACACGTTTTATGAATTATCGTACTGAGATAGTGTCACTAGGTGCAGGCCCGCATTAAGGTAGTTTGAGGCCCCTTGAATAGGGTACAAGTAAATTTGAAATAATTCTTGAAAGAAAAAATGGTAAGTTTCATTTATTTTGTATTTTTATGGTGGTTACAAGGTCGGTCAAATTGGTCTAGTCTGTATTGAGTAAGAATAAAACAAACAACAGATAAAATATTAAGATTTATCGAAAAAAAGAGAGGGTTAAGCTTACGGTCCAGATTGTCAGTTGGGGCTCCTCAACGCTTGGGGCCCTGGCTCAACTGTGCCACAGTTAATGCGGGCCTGACTATGTGGTTATAATTACTACAATTAGTGATGTAGAAAATATGCTGATTTGATGTTGGTATAAATTTTCAACAACATTATGATTGACACTATTTAAATACAGTTCCTAAAAGACGAGTTTTTCATACGTTAATTTTATTAGTCTAATCTGGATATGCTGAGAAATAAATTACTACCATTTGTATTAGACCATGTCTTTTGATTTACACTATATATATAATTATATAAAAAATATATAGTAAATTCGACAACTTCTATCCTGTTAATTGTGATTTCATTTTACATTACGGTTTTAAATGTTAAAAGCCGTCGAAGCAATGAAACCAACAGAACTAATAATGGTGATAAAAGTCACACTGCTCTGCAAACGTTTTTCATATCCCTTTTAATTAGTCCATCATAGATTTCTAATTAAAGGCTTATTTAAGTTTTATTTATACACGTGTTTTATTTGAAATTCATAATGAAGTAGATGAGTTTGTTTGTTTGTAATTAAGCACAAAGCTACACAATGGGCTATTTGTGCTTCGCTCACCACGGATACCGAAACCCGGATTCTAGCATTGTAAGTCCACAGACATACCGCTGTGCCACTGGGGGGCAAGTAGCTGAGAAAAAAGTGGACAAAGACCTACAATCTATTGTGATTTGGTCATTATTATTAAGCCTAATGATTTAACGTTGAAACAATTTCGTAATTAAATCGTGTTGTGAGAATTCAATGGACATCAAAGCTAAGATCTTTTTAACGGTACTAACAGAGTAACTAAGACTGAATCTTCTATTTTCGATCCACATATGTGACGTAAGAGAAGGTTGGATTAAGACTGCCACCTTAACTCTAAGTTCACATTTTTACCTATTAATATAAATGCAGTGAAAAACAAAAGATTTTAAAATAAGCCTTATTTTATTATAAATGTCATTACTGGTTAAAACAAAGACTGAACACAGACTTTCTTAGACATTGAAAAAGAATCAGTTCTAGTGGTTAGGGGTTAAAATAGTCCCCATCTAATTTATTACACCTGCAATTAAAAAAAAATGCTGTACTTAGTGCTTAAATTACTTTAAATTATCATTAAATGCTCCAGCAGGAATCGGGAAGGCTGCGCGATATGCGCAAGGTGTCCATTATCTATCATAATGGCGCAAAAGAATTTGGGTACTAGTGTGAAGCAATGGTATAAATTGGGGCAAATGGTGGAAATATACCTCAATGATGTGGGGTGAGATGCCCCTCAAAAGGAGGGCGTCTTACCCAAAGCCACTCTATGTACATTATCTTAGGAATCGTACATTATGAAAAATAAGTCAACTTGAACTATATATCTTATACAGCATATTCTGCCTTTAATTCTTGATTGTTTAAAATCAATAAAGTGAAATTTCTTGAAATATTTACTTTGTAGCCATAAAAATTCAAAGTGATTACCTTAAATCAAAAGTTGTTCAAAAATAAAAAAAAACAACTAAAGTCATGCTTTCATCATTGACAATCGCGCCAGTGTGTTATGCATGGAGTCACGTAAACAATAGTTGCATATAATTCACACTAGCTGGCAGCACGATATATCTGGTGATATTCAGGGGTGGCCGTTTTACGAAAGGGGACCGTCTCATCTGGCTTTTCCTATCTAACTTACACTGTACATTGTACATTACAGGAAATTATTGATTAGTTTTCCTTAATACTAAAAATAATAAGAATTTTGAAATACATTCCGTTTCACCTTTTTTTTTCGTGGAATTTCAGATGCTTTAAACTGGTTCGACGGCGGCAACAGGACAGTTGTTGGACCAACGGGCACTGGTTACATCTGGGCTACTTATCCAAAGGACCATATTTCTATTGCGAATTGTTTTCTTGACCAGGTAAGAATATGTTATCTTAATTTCGTGAAGTGTATTGACCGAAATGTCTATCAGTATAATTATTCGTGAACTGCATAGATCAAACTTTCTAGCGGTGCAATTATTCATTTAAAAAAATGATAAATTGAATATAGAATATGTAAACAGCAAGAATTGACAGATTTTATCCCACTTCAGTAAAAAAAAACTGTAGGAAACTTACGAATTTTGAAAAGCAAAACATTTAATAATGATGTTTCACAAGTATTTAAGAAATTTGATGCGTACTGCCTTATAAATTTGGAAAGTTCGTAAAATTGAATAAGTATTTCAAACGAAAATTAATAAACACAAATGAGATGATATCATGCTGTTTCTATGGAGACTCACCATGATAACGAGAAAGTATGTAATCTATCGAGATGAAATGTTACGTTGTGTATCGCAGGTGTCAGTGATGTTTAGCTTAAAGAAATATTGAAGAGGAATTTTGCACACTCAACTGAAACAATTGGTCAGAAAAAGTTAATTAATAAATCACTGAGAAAAACGGTTATTAGTGTTAAATAGAATCCATATCAATTAGGCAAGGCAAAGAAGGATTGGAGACAGATAAACACGTGCAAAGTAAATAGTAATAACTAGAAATTATAAATTACATAACAGAAAACAGAAATAAGTAAATGATAATTATCGATCATTTCCACAATATATTTACCAAATGCTTCTTCGTGATTTCTATTAAGAGTGTTCTGGAAGCGAATCTGTGAGTAAACCAGTTGCGTGAATTTTTTATCGTAACATTAACTAATAACATATGTGAAAATGTTATGTTCATCTAGATTGATTCCAGATCTAACACTTTGTTTTAATTTCTTTCATGAATAAAACTATTTTAGCGGACATCTACAGTACTTAAATGACATTTAGTGAGTAGTACCTTTGTTTTTATACAAAACTAGATATATGTTTAATAACGTACTGGTTAACTTCGTGTTTCTTACACTAATATTTTGATTAGTGACTCCGTTTTAAAAATTATTTCGTTTGATTGGAAGCTCTGAAAAAGTTATCTTAGTTATCAATTAAGAAAAAGAACACCCACGTACGGCTTCAATAAAGTTATAATTGTGTAGATAGTAAACGTTGTTTTTAATTATTCATTACAATTTTATATATTACGCAAGTGCTGGTAATTCATATTTCAACGTGCTTTACTTTTTCGTGGTACTCTTAACGGTATTAACGGTGTGTTTAGATGTTCCTGTAAGCTGTGTGCCAAAACACAATCATTTCTCCCCCTGTACTCAGAAATAGAATAAAAATTAAATTAAATATTTAAGAAACATTAATATCCTTTTGTCAGTCACCGCATTATCCTTACTGTCGTTATATTTCTTTGTTTAGATTGTGGGAACTGGAATAGTAATGTTCTCAATCTTAGCTGTAGTTGACAAGAGAAATATCAAGTTTCCGATGTGGGGAGCTGCGATCACCATTGGTTTAATGATTGCATCTGTGGCTATGGCTTATGGTACTAACTGTATGGCCGCTTTAAATCCAGCTCGTGATTTTGCTACGCGAACATTCACCGCTGTTGCTGGTTGGGGCTCAGCACCCTTCAGGTGAGTTTTTTTCTTCTTCACTCATAAAATTGTTTTTGTGTGTGTGAAAATAAAGCTTTTATTTGTTGAATTTCTACTGTAGGCATGCGCAGAACTGTTGTCTGATAGCTAGTTTTCATTTGTTCATTAAAACACATAAGTGATTAGGGTGCTCAACTCGCAATCTGAGGATCACAGGCTCGAATCCCCGTCACCGAACATGCTTACACTTTCACTTTCATCGGTGGGGCGTTATTATGTAACAGTAAATCCCACTATTCGTTGGTAAAAGAATAGCCTCAGAGTTGGCGGTGGGTAATATTGACTAGCTGTCTTCCCTCTAATCTATCATTGTTAATTTAGGAACAGCTACCGCAGATAGCCTTCTAGCAGCTGTGTGAGAAATGGCATTTCATACCACAAATGGAATTTGTTTCTTGTTTTCCACCCACCGCCAACTCTTGGACTACTCTTTTATTAATGAATAATTGTATTGACCGTTACATTATAACATCGCTATGGCTGAAAGGGCAAGCATGTTCGGCGACAAGTATTCGAACCTGCGACCCACAGATTGTGAATCCAGCTCCCTAACCATCAGGTCATGCCAACCCTTATTTCCTATAATGGTGTTTTATACTACAAACTGATTTTTTTTTATCAGCAGTGGGACCAAAAGCCATCATTGGAACTTTCGAATTGAACAAATAATTTACCGGTAGAATATTACTAAAGAAATATCATTTGTAGTTTTCCAGTAGTTTTCAAAGTGCTTATTTTTTATTTATTTTTTGAAATAATGTTTTTATTTTAAAGTCAGCATTATTAACGTGACTTTCTGTCGTCTTGGCTTTGAATAAATATAGTTGAACTATCAGTTGAGCTATTAAATTGACATTTTATTTTCAATATCTTATTACTATTATTGCTACTAAACAATAATAAGAAACGTTTAGTATTAAAAACCGAAAGATTTGTGTTTTGTTTTGGTGTGGCTATAGATAAAATTACCTCACCAGTTACAGGTGATTTGTGTTTTGTTTTGGTGTGGCTATAGATAAAATTACCTCACCAATTACAGGTGACTTGTGTTTTGTTTTGGTGTGGCTATAGATAATACCACCTCACCAGTTACAAGTGATTTGGTGTGGCTATAGATAATATTACCTCGCCGGTTACAGGTGATTTGGTGTGGCTATAGATGATATTACCTCACCAGTTACAGGTGATTTGTGTTTTATTTTGGTGTGGCTATAGATAATATTACCTCACCGGTTACAGGTGTTTTGGTGTGGCTACAGATAATATCACCTCACCAGTTACAGGTGTTTTGGTGTGGCTATAGATAATATTACCTCACCAGTTGCAGGTGATTTGTGTTTTGTTTTGGTGTGGCTACAGATAAATTCACCTCACCAGTTACAGGTGATTTGGTGTGGCTATAGATAATATCACCTCACCAGTTACAGGTGATTTTTAAAACTGATTATTTCTCAACACTGTTTTTAATTATTTTTTTTTAAGTGAGATTATTAAAATTTGTCTTCAATAAGCAAATTATTCATAAATATTTTCTAAATTAAATTATCCTGCAAATATAAAAACATACTTTAAACTTTAACCAGACTTGCGATTTCCAAATTGCATAAATTATAGAAAAACAAACATAAATCATGAACATCACCGTCATTCCGTTGATAGTTTAAAATTGATAGTGTATTAATATTATTCCGTTGATAGTTTAAAATTGATAGTGTATTAATATTATTCCGTTGATAGTTTAAAATTGATAGTGTATTAATATTAATTCGTTGATTGTTTAACATTGATAGTGTGTTAATATTATTCCGTTGATAGTTTAAAATTGATAGTGTATTAATATTATTCCGTTGATAGTTTAAAATTGATAGTGTATTAATATTATTCCGTTGATAGTTTAAAATTGATAGTGTATTAATATTATTCCGTTGATAGTTTAAAATTGATAGTGTTTTAATATTATTCCGTTGATAGTTTCAAATTGATAGTGTATTAATATTATTCCTTTGACAGTTTCAAATTGATAATGTATTAATATTATTTCGTTGATTGTTTAAAACTGATAGTGCATTAATATTATTTCTTTGATTGTTTAAAATTGATAGTGTATTAATATTAATTCGTTGATTGTTTAACATTGATAGTGTGTTAATATTATTCCGTTGATAGTTTAAAATTGATAGTGTATTAATATTATTCCGTTGATAGTTTAAAATTGATAGTGTATCAATATTATTCCGTTGATAGTTTAAAATTGATAGTGTTTTAATATTGTTCATTTGACAGTTTCAAATTGATAGTGTATTAATATTATTTCGTTGATTGTTTAAAATTGATAGTGTATTAATATTATTTCGTTGATTGTTTAACATTAATACTGTGTTAATATTGTTCCTTTGACAGTTTCAAATTGATTGTTTAACATTAATACTGTGTTAATATTGTTCCTTTGACAGTTTCAAATTGATAGTATATCAATATTATTCCGTTGATAGTTTCAAATTGATAGTATATTAATATTATTTCTTTTTACAGCTTATTTTATGAATTTTCAAAATGTTGTTGATTTGTTATCTTAATGTGAGTCACAAAGAATTTCTAGAAATTTAGTTAAGTAGAGAAGTCACAAATAGGCATAATTTTGTTGTTTGTGCTATGAGTAGTTCTTACGCCTACTCTTAAGATAAAAGGTCATTTACACATTTTGAAAATGATGATTAAGTTCGATATAGTAGTTCTTTAAATTGAATTTTACCTATAATCATACTATTTAATAATGACCCTTCAAGTATATTTGAGCGTGATTGAGTTTCTTCGGAGAAAAGCCATGGAAACATACCTCGCCCCTTTCATCTTTGCACAGCTTTATATAACCGGCGAACGTCTTAAAATAGCTTTTGATTTTGAGGTGTGTTCGAAGTTTGTGTACTTTCGGCTCATGATTCTCTTTCATCTTCAGACCCTTCTTTATTATCTTGTTAAGAATAACATGAACTATACCTAGATTCAGTGCATTGAATGTTTGAGCCAGAAGGTTCTCCTTCGCAATCATAACCATCACTTTGCGAATGAAGAAGTTGATACTGATTAGATTGGAGCGTGAGTTCGAAGTTTGCTGCTGTGTGAAACACTCAGCTCGGTAGTTTTTTTTTCTCTCTCTTTCCGTGGAAAAACAGAAGTCTTTCTTCTTCCGAATGTTGTTCTTTCATTCTACATTTTCTAATATCTTTTTTCTGTGTGAATATTTCCCTTTGGAAAAAATGGTTACATACTTTCTTCAGCTACCCAACCAACCCCCTGTTAACCTTTATATGCTGGACATATGCCTATGCACCACAGGCCCGGCATTGCCAGGTGGTTAAGGCGCTTGACTCGCAATCTGAGGGGCATGGGTTCGAATCCCTGTCCCACTAAACATACTCACCCTTTCAGCCGTGGGAGCGTTGTAATGTGACGGTATATCCCACCATTCGTTGGTAAAAGAGTAGCCCAAGAGTTTGCGGTGGGTGGTGATTACTAGCTACCTTCCCTCTAGTCTTTCACTGCTAAATTAGGGACGGCTAACACAAATAGCCCTCGTGTAGCTTTGCACGAAATTCAAACGAACGAGAAATCATCCTTTGTTATTAAACAAAACTGTGGAATATAATATACTATGTTCTCTTTCCTTTATAACCATTTATTTTCAATAAACAAGGCAAACTCCAAGCTCCATTAGAATAATAACCTAACCTAGTAAAGAGGTAAACTGATTTGTATCTATGTTATAATTGACTTTAATTAACTAAAACGTTCAGGAACTTGTTCTGTATTTTGACGCCTCTGTCAGGGTGTTTAAAGGCTTTGTGCCATTTTCTGTGATGATCCATATAAATGATGCTAGTATCCTAGGATGATGAAGATATATATATATAGAATATTTCGAAATATAGTCTTAAATTCATAGATGTTTAAGCCTACCAATGAAATGAGGTATCTTGATGCTAAATGATGCTAGTATCCTAGGATGGTAAAGATATATATATATATATATATATAGAATATTTCGAAATATAGTCTTAAATTCATAGATGTTTAAGCCTACCAATGAGGTATCTTGAAGTTCAATATTTTTTTTATGTTTTGTTTAAGAATCTTTATTGGGAGTTGTTTTTGTTTGTTTGTTAGTTCTATATTAGATTTAAAACATTTTACAAGCAATTATCAAAAATTCTAGATGTTTTAATTTTTTTGTATATTTGTTTACTCTGATAGTAAAGAGTCTATAAGTTTTGATTAAAGAAAATATATGCATGTGTTTTCGTTTCGCAGTATTATACATGTGTTCTCGCCCTCGAGAGACAGTGTCCTAAAATTCGTTTTCAGATATGCGTTGTTTATTTAGTGTTTTGAAGATTGTTTCAATATTATTTGGATCCTTATAATTGTGTGAAATTAACATAAAATATGATTTATAAAAAGAAAACAGGTAAAAAGTTATTCTATTCATTTTAATATTAAATTATTTCACAAGTATTCTGAAATTAGCTTGCAAATGTTTAACCACCGTTGTACACTTCCAACTCGTTGATGATACCAGTGTCGATTTATCTACCAGTTAAAAACCTTAAAAATGGCAGCTTCGTATTGGACGAAATAATCGAATGCAACTTACTGATATAATTCGTAAATTTATCCCAATTACTTCATCCAGAAGTTTGTTTTTAATTTACTGCATCCATACGAGATCATTCTGAGCAGTGATTTAAATTTATTTGATTTATACTTCTCAGTGATATTTCAAACAATTTATTGATTTACGTCAATATAACGAAATCTAGTAACTTTTACTTTTCGTGGTCCACGGTAATGATCTTTCTCTACCACACGCACACACGAATAACAGCCAGCGTGGTCCACGGTAATGATCTTTTCCTACCACACGCACACACGAATAACAGCCAGCGTGGTCCACGGTAATGATCTTTCCCTACCACACGCACACACGAATATCAGCCAGCGTTGTCCACGGTAATGATCTTTGCCTATCACACGCACACACGAATATCAGCCAGCGTGGTCCACGGTAATGATCTCTCCCTACCACACGCACACACGAATATCAGCCAGCTTTACTTTTATAGTTATTCAATTTGAACACATTATTAAGGTAATATTTATTTGGTATACCGTAGTTATCGTAACTACAACTACTGGTGGATCGGTTTGGTTGGGCCCCATCTAGGCGCTATGGTTGGAGGATGGTTGTACTATTTAGGTGTCGAACTTCACTGGCCTGATGATGAAGATGAGGCAACAGAGAAAGAGCTGAAAGAACTGGTGGACAACGATGACAATGGTAAGGGCATTTTGTTGTGTGAAGACTAAGTATCATTGTTACATTTATTGCTTTTTATAGTTGAAATTTGCTACTTTAGGTAACATATGCTATGCCTCCTGGTAGCTCAGTGGTAAGTCTGAGATTTTATTACGCTAAAAAATCTGGTTTCGATACGCGCTGTGGGCACAGCACAGATAGCCCATTGTGTAGTTTTGCCCTTAACAACAAATATATGCTAACTAATTGTGATTAAACTAACAATAAAGTTGCATGTTAAAATACTTTTACATTCATGCACATTCACTGATTTCTCTTCTGTTTTCGAAATACATGCTGCTCTTAAACATTATATAGTTTTAGGATTAACTTCCTTCTTTCGTAGAAAATGAATATTTCATATAATGTTCTGATATTTTCACCTGCCCTTCAGTCGGGAAAACGATAGTCACGTTGTTGTTTGTAATTTTAGTTAGATGTTTTAATTTCTTGATTTTAATACAGACTAATAACATTTATAAATTATTATGTTACCATTTTGGTCTGTGTTTCCCTATTTTTATACTATAGTGACGTTAATCACTAGGCTCACAGTTATTTCATCACTGTTGTTATCCTTCGTAAGGAAAGCAATGGGCTTCTTTCCCTTTTTGAAAACAAATCAGCTATAGATGGGGTTTTTCACACTCCTCTCAACCTGTCCATTACTTCTAAAAAAAAAAAAATTTGTGTAAAAATAGTATTTCAGATACATCTTTTGCCTCCCACAAGTAGCTCCCCCAGTGGCACAGCGGCATGTCTACGGACTTACAACGCTAGAATCCGGATTTCGATACCCGTGGTGGGCAGAGCACAGATAGCCCATTGTGTAGTTTTGTGCATAATTACAAACAAACCCACAAGTAGTTACCCAATACGATTTTTATTCAATACCATAACTCCTCAGCTGGACGATGAGAGAAAACATTTCGCTGGCTTTCAGAGTTGGAGCCGTTGTTTTTCTATTGCTTAATAATGATTCATTCCAGCTACTGATAAGCTACCGAGTTCATTGCTAGAGCATTCATGATGTTTTGGCGGGTTCAGTTCATCACAGAACCTGCATTAAACAGTATGTGAAAGAGAAAGTTTCTTTTCCGATTTAATCAATTTTCCATTCTCTGTTTCTTCCACAGTTAAAAAAGACAAGACTGCTGTTTAACAACGCTGAAGCTTAACTTTGAAAGACGAAAATTATGGGGATTGATATCCAGAAGATTCTACGTACTCTACTTACTGGAAGAATTCTCAGCACCCTAAATATTTTACGGCACAGAAAGAAATAATGAAATATTAATATGGCGTACAGCATATTCACGGAAAACAAAATTTGTATACGCTATGACTCTCGATATTTACATCGTTAATGTATAATAATCCAATTTATTGTTTATTTCATTGTTTTGCTTGTTTGTTATCAAACGTAAAAGCATTTTGTGCTTAATTAGTTAACGAAAAGCATAGATGTTATTTACATGTATTACGACTTCAATCATGCTTATGTCTACCTACTTACTGTACAACTGAAAAATAGCATTTAAAGTTATGATATTTAACGTTAAAACCCCAAGAACATATATATATATACCGAAAAGGTAGACTCTCGTTTATTCGAAAGACTTCATATGAAACTTTTATGAAAGTTGACAAAACACCTGTACTGCATCTTTTTCTCGTCTTTTATAAATTAATATTACAATAAACTTCTTTTATGTAACTTGTATAGCGTGTATTAAAGTTAATTCATTTGACGTGAAAAGTAAAAACTCATATGAAAATAGAGTCATCTCTGAAAATTTAAATGTTTGCTTATTTTGATTTATTAGTTTTACTTATAAACAATTAATTACGATTATTTTTAGAGCTCTACACATTTGAAAGTAGCATGTAAGCATTGTTACCGGGACATCTAACGTTAGAACAGCATTGTTTATTTCTGTAAAAGTTGACCTGTAAGCATTGTTACCGGGACATCTAACGTTAGAACAGTATTGTTTATTTCTGTAAAAGTTGACCTCTATTGTTTTTTAATGAACAATAACTTACAATGGTGTTTCAATTAATTGATATCAGTTGAGTTAAAGCGTTTCCATGTCGTCGAAATGTTTTATTGAGTTTCTTGATGTTTTAGGGATAGTATTGTCTAAAGTCTGACAGTACAAGCAGAAGAAACTAATTTTGAATCATAATTTGTGTTTTACCTCTTGTCAGATTCGAAACCGATTAAATGTGGCTGGCTATACTATTTTAATAATAAAAAATATCTTTTAGGCAGTTCAGAGATTTTATATTTTTTGTTTTTATCAAAACCTCACTATATTAACATTATAATGTCCCACACAACCTCGTAATAAAATACAACGTAATGTCCTGTGACTGATCGATAATTTCATAACGATTTAGAATTGTTCCTACTAACACATTAATTAAAATTACTTATACCATGATTTGTTCATAAATTCTGTAATTATGTCAATTCTCATCAGCCCAATTACATCCACGGTAAGGAATATAACACAACTAGATTTTACTGGACTTTAAAATAAAGAAGATTTTGAAGTGTTAATTTCTACGCTGGTCACAAAATATGAACGATATTGCTAATTCCACAGAAATGAAACATTATAATTAATATTTCTATTACCATACTTAAGTTAAGCCTTTTCACTTGCTTTCAGTGTGAGTTATCACATTTTGATTCTTAAAAACTATAGCATAAATTAATTTGTTCATCACATTTGACCTTTCTTTAAATAATTAGATTTGTATGTGAGAAAGGATACTTAAAGTACGTGTTTAGTGTATCTATTTTCCTTTTCAAACTTAACATAAGTTTTTTCACTAAACCTTTAAAAATGATTGTTGTGATTGTTAAACAAGAGTGTTATTATAAAATAAAAATCCCTCTTTGTACATAAAACATATTCCCAGAAATCTTTATAGCAAGTTACCAAATTTTTACTTTTTTTTTTCACTTATGGGGACATAAGCTACGTCCAGAATTGAAGTCATTAGTTATAGATATAACATTCACATTGAACTACT